GGGCGGGACTGGGCGGTGGAGACCCTTCAGGGCAGAAGATACAGGCTTCCTGCGAGGAGGAAACAGGCTTGCAAGCACACTTACCTAAACCCCGGGGAGAATAGGATCAGACGGGGTTAACCTCAACTTGATGTCTCTTGCTGAATGGTTTTGTGGCCTGAGCGCAGTGTTTCACCACTAAAATGAAGATGATAGGACACTCCTCACCCCTCTCAGAGCTGTTGAGAGAATTAAGTCATGGACGTAAAGGGCTTAGCCCAGCGCCTGGCCCACTGTTGTAAACCCTCATTAATGCTAACGACTCTCAGCGTTCTGTGCCAGGGCAAGCCTAGGATTAGAAAGTAGCCCCAGGCCCCAGCCCTGCAGTGTCCCCAGAGCCTCCTGCTGGTTGCAGGGATCAGGGTGGGGCTGATAGCCGAGCTTGACCCTGGATGACACTAAACCCTGGATCAAGCTGGAATTCGGGCACGCAGCCTCGCATCATCCGTCCAGGATCCAGAGCTAGGTCAGGCGCTGCTGCCTCGCCTCAGCAGCTTCCAGGGGGAGCCAGGCAGGGCGGGTTTGTCATCTGATGGGGCTTAATCCAAGCCTCACTGCTAACCCAACCCGGCCTCCCCTACGTGATGTTTGCCTTTGTGCATGGTTTCCCATTAGTCATTGGCCTTCAACCAGACCGGCAGGATGAGATTTCTATGTGAACCTGTGTATGTTAATGAAAGCATGCATTTATTTTCCTGCATGAGTAATGCGTGGGGGAGGCTGTGTATGCATGCATAAATATGTTTGTGAGTCTGTGTTTATGAGTATCATATCTGTCTGTGTGAGTTTATGAGTATGGGAGCTAACATCTATTTTCATATATTGTGTCTTAATAATCTGTGCATATGTACTGGTGTGTGTTTATGTAATTTTCTGTGTTTTTACATTTGTGGTTATCTTTGGGTGTGTCTTGATAGGTCTATGTATATAAGACAGTGGGAATGCGGGAGAATGTGTTCTGGCTTCAGGACCAATATTTAGCAAGCACTAACCAAAGTTCTATTTTTACTTTGCTTTGGGAGGGTGGACACGTCATGCTGGTCCCCCATATTCCCTTGCCCATTGTCCCTGTCTCATCAAACCCCAACCAAAATGCCACATTCTCTAAAAGACATTCCTGGATTTGAGTGGGAATTAATCTCTCCCTCCTCATTTCCCCACCACCCTTTGTTTATGCTTTGATTACAGCCCTGATCTACCAATCTACCTCTCCCTTGCCTTTTCCTAAAAGAATTAAGGATGGCTTTCAGAAATATATACAACGGGATAAATTGAATTGCCCACATGGCTTCATTACTTCTCCTGGGCATGCATCTTCTTTAATGCTAGAACTTGTTATTTATGTGTCTGTCTCTTCCATCAGATGTTCTCCCTGTTCTCAGTACCTAGCAGGGGCAACCCTTGTAAGTGCTAATCCATGCTGGTTAAATGGAATTAAATTAAAGTCTTGTAGTGTTCATGGGAAGAGCTTGTGTCTTTAGAGTCAGACAGATTTGGGTCATGACTGCCAGCTGTATGACCTTGGAGGAAACCTTTCACCTCTCTGAGCCTGTTTTCTTATCTTCTTTTTGAGTCTGCATTTTGCCCTTGTTGCCCAAGCGGGAGTGCAATGGTGCCTTCTCGGCTCACTGCAACCTCTGCTTCCCAGGTTCAATCGATTCTCCTGCCTCAGCCTCCCAAGTAGCTGGGATTACAGGCACCTGCCACCATGCCCGGCTAATTCTTATATTTTTACTAGAGATGGGATTTCACCACATTGGCCAGGCTGGTCTCAAACTCCTGAGCTCAGGTGATCCTCCCTCCTCAACCTCCCAAAGTGCTGGGATTACAGACGTGAGCCACTGCGTCAGGCCAGTTTTCTCATCTATTAAATGGGGCCAGTAAATCATCTCTCATTTGTTGAGCTGAGGATTGAGGAGAATGTTTTCGCAGAGCCTGGTATACAGATGGTACTCAATCTATGTAGGTTCATATTTTAGTTATGCCATTGCTAACTTGGAGCCTTGTTGGCTGAAGGACCAGGGCAGAAACCCCTGCCCCATAAGTTCCCCATCAGGTGGCATGACCTGACAGTTGCCCTACCTGATATTTCCAAATGATATCTGAAAATGCTGGGTTGGCCCTGAGCTTTGCTGTATCAGAGGTTCCCTGGCAAGGGGGAAAAAGCTGATGCAGCTTCTTGGCTAGGAGAACCATAGAGCAAATGACTAGGAGACCTTGTCAAGTGATCCAGGTCAGCTCTCCGCCTTAGGCAAGGATCATCCATGTGGCGGCTTTTAAGATGGGATAATTAGCCTGTAGTAGATATAGAAAATATTAAATTTTTTGACAGATGTTAGTAATTTAAATGTATTAATGTTAATTCATTCGACATTTAATTCTTAAATTTCTTTAACCTTAAATCTTCCTTAATCTCTAAACTACAAGATGATTTTCTTAGTTTTACTTAGTGTTTAAAAATTGAAAACACCTTACATATCTGACACAAGAGGAAGGTATTATTATATCCATTAAATTTAATCATATAAAGTCATTGTAAGTGTAGCTATGAAAACAGTATAGGAAATATTAATAGTAAACAATTGAGCTCATAGTCTATGCTAGACATTATACTAAGAGCTACATATGAATGATTTTGTTGAATCCTAAGAACCCCAGGAAGTAGGTACTATTATGTCTTAGTCCCTTTGGGCTGCTGCAACAAAGTCCTGTAGATTGTGGCTTGTAGACAACAAAAATGTATCTCTCCCAGTTCTGGTGCCTGGGATGTCCAAGATCAAGGCACTACCAGATTCAGTGAGCTCCCTGGTGTTCTTTAAAAGGACACTAATTCTATTCATGATGGCTCAGACTTCATGACCTAATCACCTCTCAAAGCCTTCCAAATACTTTCACATGGAGAGTTTGGATTTCAACCTATGAATTTTAAAGGGACACAAACATTCAGTCTACAGTCTATTATTATCTACATTTTACAGATACGGAAACTAGGACACAGGTTAAGCAACTTGCCCATGGTCACTTAGTAAATAATAGAGCCAGAAATCAAACTGAGGCTGGCTGGCTCCCACTGGCACCCTTAACTATAAAGGGAAAATACTTATAATGGAAAGAAGAAAAGAAAAATTAAAAATTATAGCTGTCACACTCTGTGTAACAGAACATTGACTGGCACTTTTTCCTATTGCCCCAGAACTGTAGCTAAAGCCTAGGGCTCTAATGAAAGCTGTCAACCCACCCATGAGACCTGGAGCCAAAGGCTTAAGGACCACAGAACAGCAGGGGTCAGAGAGGGCCTTTTTAGAGCCAATGTGTAGCCTGACTTTTCTCCTCTCTTCTCATGGGAGGAGCTTGTGTCTTTAGAGTCAGACAGACTTGGGTCATGACTGCCAACTGTATGACCTTAGAGGAAACCTTTCACCTCTCTGAGCCTCAGTTTTCTTATCTTTCTTATCTTTTATCCTCAGTAAAGGAGATGCTGTAAAAGGCGCCATCTGATTTCTCTATTATAGTCAGCACCTAGCACAGTGTCAAATACACAGAAATGGCTCAAGAATTGTCCGTGAGCTGGGTGCGGTGGCTCATGCCTATAATCCCAGCACTTTAGGAGGCTGAGATGGGTGGATCACAAGATCAGGAGTTCAAACTAGCCTGGCCAACACAGTGAAACCCCGTCTCTACTAAAAATACAAACAAACAAAAAAAAAAATTAGACATGCATGTAGCAGACACCTGTAATCCCAGCCACTTAGGAAGCTGAGGCAGGAGAATTGCTTGAACCTGGGAGGCGGAGGTTGCAGTAAACCTAGATCGTGTCACTGCACTCAAGCCTGGGTGACAGAGCAAGACTCCAACTCGAAAAAAAAACTGTCTGTGAAGTCTTATGATATGGCAGATGCTGTTCCAGGAGTTTTACATTCATAACACATTTATTCCTCAAAAACAGGACTATCATCTGCACTTGAGAGAAGAGGAAACTGGGCCTCCAAGAGCTTAAGGGACTTGCCCAAGTCCCTTCTGACTCCAAAGTCCAGGCTATTCTCTATACATAGTGGTCCATTAATGTGGCAACTATGTGTTGCACATAGTAGGAGGTTAGTGAACACATAGTGAAATAAAGGACACACATGCACCAAATTTAACCCTTCTGCTAGAAAAGCATTTAAAAAAAGAGAAGACTTGAGAGTGAGAAAATGAAAGAAGGCATAGTAATATGATAGATATGGCTTAGCAAAATATGTTCATCTCCCAAATTCCAATAAAACACGGAAACCTTTTCCCTTTCTGGTTTCATTGAAACAGCAATGCTGACATGGACTATTTCTAATCCTGCCAGAGGCTGGCCTCCTATCAGATGTGGCTAAATGCAAGGTTTGGCATCTTCTGCAGACAACTGTAGGATTATTGGGGCCACTGTTCACAAAGTCAGCCCAGCAGAGGACACTAACAGACAAGTCACAGAAGGCAGTACAAATGACTAAGAAATAGGAAATGCTGCATATGCAACTTGAGTAATTAAAGAATTGCAAGTTGAGATAAGGAGTTGCCACTTTTTTAACCTATTGATTTGGCAACAATGTTTACAAACTGGTAAATCTTGTTATGGCCTCTCACTGTTGATAGAAATGTTAAGTGATAAGACCTTTCCAGAAAGCCTTAAAAGTGTTTATACTTTTTGACTCATTATTTCCACTTTTTCTTTTATATATATATATATATATTTTTTTTTTTTTGAGATGGAGTCTCACTCTTGTTGCCCGGGCTGGGTGTAATGGCATGATCTCGGCTCACAGCAACATCCCAGGTTCGCGATTCTCCTGCCTCAGCCTCTGGAGTAGCTGGGATTACAGGCATGCACCACCACACCCGGCTAATTTTGTATTTTTAGTAGAGACAGGGTTTCTCCATGTTGGTCAGTCTGGTCTCGAACTCCCAATCTCAGGTGATCCACCCACCTCAGCCTCTCAAAGTGCCCAAATAAGGGGTCATCATGCCTGGCCCATTATTTCCACGTTTAAGGATCTATCCAAAGGCTAGGCACAGTGGCTGATGCTGGTGATCCCAACACTTTGGGAGACTGAGGTGGGTAGATCTCTTGAACTCAGGAGTTTAAGACCAGCCTGGGCAACATGGGGAAACCCCATCTTTACTAAAAAAAAATTACTGAAAATTAGCTGGACATGGTGGTATGCACCTGAAGTCCCAGCTACCTGGGAGGCTGAGGTGGGAGAATCACCTGAGCTTGGGAAGTCAAGGCTGTAGTGAGCCATGATCACATCACTGTACTCCAGCCTGGGCAACAAGTGAGACACTGTCCCAAAAAGATAAAAAAATAATCTCTCCAAGGGAAATAAATAATCAGATGTAAATATGTACAAAAATGTTCACCAGAGTGTTATATAATTACAAAAATTAGGAAAACCTAAATAGTTGACAACAAAGGATTTGTTGAGTACTCTGTGCTCTATGATGTTTCTGTGTAGAAATACTATACATCTATAAAAAATGATACCTGCCCAGTGCTGCCTGCCCGGCACTGCCCATCCAATGCCTGTCCCCAGACTGAGGCCCAGCCCCCTTGCTCTTGTCCATCAAAGGCACCACCAGCATGTCTGACAAACTGCCCTACAAAGTTGGTGACATCAGCCTGGACACCTGGGAACACAAGACCCTGGATATTGCAGGGAATGAGTTGCCGGGCCTGGTGGCCATTCGGGAGCTGTACTTGCCCTCCAGGCCACTGAAGAGCACCCGCGTTGCTGGCTGCCTGCAAATGAGTGTGGAGACGGCCATCCTCATTGAGACTCTCATCTCCCTGGGTGTTTGGGAGCAGTGGTCTAGTTGCAACATCTTCTCCACCCAGGACCATGCAGCAGCTGCCTTTGCCAAGGCTGGCATGCCAGTGTTCACCCGGAAGGGCAAAATGAATGAGGAGTACCCTGGTGCATTGAACAGACACTGTACTTGAAGGATGGGCCCTTCAACGTGATTCTGGATGATGGGGGTGACCTTACTAACCTCATCCACACCAAGTACCCACAGCTCATGTCGAGCATCTGAGGCATCTCTTAGGATATCACAACCACGGTCCACAACCTGTACAAGATGATGGCCAATGGAATCCTGAAGGTGCCTGCCATCAACATCAATGACTCCGTCACCAAGAGCAAAATTTCACAACCTCTGTGGCTGCCAGGAGTCCCTCACAGATGAATGACATCAAGTGGGCCAAGACATAATGATTGCCAGCCAGGTAGCAGTGGTAGCAGGCTAAGGCAATGTGGGTGGGGGCTGTGCCCACGCCCTGTGGGGTTTTGGGGCCCACGTCATCATCACCGAGACTGACCCTGTCAGTGTACTGCAGCTCCCATGGAAGGCTATGAGGTGACCACCACGGATGAGGCCTGTCAAGAGGGCAACATCTTTGTCACCACCACAGCCTGTGTCGACATCATCCTTGGCCAGCACTTGCAGCAAATGAAAGATGATGTCATCGTGTGTAACACTGGATGCTTTGACGTGGAGATCAGTGTCAGGTAGCTCAACAAGAATGTTGCGGAGACGGTGAACATCAAGCCCCAGGTCGACCAGTACTGGCTGAAGAATGGGCGTCATATCATCCTGCTGGCTGAGGGTTGGCTGGTCAGCCTGGGTTATGTCATGGGCTGCCCCAGCTTCATGGTGAGTAACACCTTCATCACCCAGGTGATGGTGCAGATTGAGCTGTGAAGCCACTCAGACAAGTACCCCATCGGGGTTCACTTCCTGCCCAAGAAGCTGGATGACACAGTGGCTGAAGCTCCCCTGGGCAAGCTGAATGTGAAATTGACCAAGCTGACTGAGAAGCAAGCCCGATAGCTGGGCATGTCCCGTGATGGCCCCTTCAAGCCAGATCACTACTGCTGCTGAGAGCCAGGCCTGCCCTTCACCTTTCCAGCTGCTGTCTTTGTTCAGGCCCTGCCTCTCCTCCCTAAAAGCGAATGGCACCAATTTTGCGATTGGTTTGTCGGTGTCCCCCATCGACTTCCTGGGGCTGGTCACTCAGTTTTTGGCCTCTACAGCATCCCTCACACTGTGTCAAGTGTGGCAGGGGGAATTGAGAGGCCCCTCCTCAAACCCTGGTCATGATGGAAATACAAGGGAGGCATCCACGGGAAACCATGAGCTGAGTGGTCTTGGAACTGCTCACTAAGTCAGTCCTTCCTAAGTTTGGAAGTTGGTAGTGGAGTCACAAAGCCCATGTACCTTACCTTTCAGGTAAGGTTCCTGATCTGTGGACTTAGATTTGTGTGCTTGTTTTACAGGGTCAGTGGTTCTTCAGCCCATGACAGATGAGAAGGAGCTATATTGAAGGGCAAAGAGGAACTGTTGTTTGAATTTTCCTGAGAGCCTGGCTTAGGGCTGGGCCTTCTCTTAAACCTCACAACAATGAGGTTGGTACTTTTAGTCCCTGTTTACAGGGGTTACAATAGACTGTTAAGGGATAACTGAGAAAGGACAGAGAATTGACAGCCAGAGGGGCCATAAAAACATAAAAGCAGGCATAGATCAGCTACCACTTTGTAACAAGACAGTTCCTATCACAACCCTGGGTCAAAAGGAGAATGATTTGGTTTATAATGTTAAAAGAAAGTGGGAAGGTGGGTAAATAAAAATCTTGGTGCCTAAAAAAATAACGATGATACTCATATCCAGGCACAGTGGCTCATGCCTGTAATCCCAACACTTTGGGAGGTCCACCTGGGCAGATTGCTTGAGCTCAGGAGTTCGAGACCAGCCTGGGCAAAATGGCGAAACTCCATCTCTACCAGAAATACAAAAAATTCGCCTAGCGTGGTGGTTGCACCTGTAGTTCCAGCTACTCTAAGAGGCTGAGGTGGGAAGATCACTTAAACCCGGGAAGTGGAGGTTGCAGTGTGTGGAGATGGTGCCACTGCACTCCAGCCTGGGTGACCCTGTCTCAAAAAAAAAAAAAAAGATACTTATGAAGGAAATTCTTACAAGATAAAATTGTGGAAGAAATTGTTAATATAACTATTTATACCATGACCCCGAATTATGTAAATGATAAAAGACCAAAAGGAAACACACCAAAATGTTAACATTCTTTGTTTCTGAGTGACTGCATTATGGATATTTAACTTTTTCTCCTTCATAGTTTTCTACATTTTCCAATTTTCTTCATAGTGAGCACTTATTACTCTCAAAACCATTAACAATCAACAATAGAATTCATTTGAATCTGGGGACATGTCTGCCAACCACATCCCTGACCTGCCCTCACGGTCTCGAGATGATGAGAGGAAGAAAGACTCAAGCTGTAAACCCACATTAAATGCAAGGCACCATCCCCACACAATGAAGCTAAATGTTGAAATCCTGCTTCAAAAGCCCTCTGATGCTAAAATAAGCCCAGAAAAGCATTTGCTGCAGTTCTTGGAGATCTATTGAAGGACGTCATTCACAGTGGGCACCAAGTCAAACCCTCGCTCGTCATCAGTGCTGGCTGCAATACAAAGAATTTGAACCATTTAGGGGAGGAATAGGGTTGGAGCTTCACAAACAACTATCCCTTAGGTTGCTATAATTGTAATAAAGGGGATTACTGACAGGTGCACAGCACAGTGCTTTCCTAGGCGTCATCTCATTTGAACTTGGCAACAACCCTGGAGGAAAGATGCTGGTAGTAACAACAAAAATAACAACAACGATGGAGACTTAACATTTACTAATTATGTACTTATTATGTGCCAGGAATCAATTCTAAACACGTCACATACATTATACCTTTTAACTAAAAATCAAAAAGAAAACAAATACAGGGACTTGCTCTGTCACCCAGGCTAGAATGCAGTGATGTAATCATAGCTCACTGTAGCCTCAAATTCCTGGGATCAAATGATCCTCCTGCCTCAGCCTCCCGAGTAGCTGGGGCTCCAGTTGCACATTATCTTTTTAAATTTTTTTGTAGAGATGGGGGTCTTGCTATGTTGCCCAGGTCTTGAACTCCTGGCCTCAAGCAATCTTCCCCTCAGCCTCCCAAAGTGTTGGGATTTCAGGCTTGAACCACTGTGCATTCCCCTTTTAATCTTTTTAGTCTTATCTGTGAAGTAGAGAGAGTGATTACCCCCACTTTACAAGCCAGTGTGTTGTCACTCAAAGTAGTCAAATGACTTGTCCAAGATAACCACGCTAACAAATGAAAAAATAGAATTTGTAGTCATTTATTTAGACCTCAGGTCCAGATTTCCACACCTGCCTCATGTACTTCCTCAGCTTTGAATATTTTTGTTGCTATTGTTATTAGGGGATACAGTAGTTTAGCAGTAAAGAATGCTGGGTTCAAATCTGGTCTTTCTAGCTGTATAATCTTGTACCAGTTACTTTAGCTCTGTGTCTCAATTTGCTTCTCTGTAAAACAGGGATCATAATATTGATCTCATTGGCCTCAAGGTCAAATGAATATAAAGCATCAAGCCAAAACTCTGCCCCATACTGAACACTCAAAAGATGTTGGGCCAGGCGTAGTGGCTCATGCCTGTAATCCCAGCACTTTGGGAGGCCGAGGCAGGCAGATCATGATGTCAGGAGATCAAGACCATCCTGGCCAACATGATGAAGCCCCATCTCTACGAAAAATACAAAAATTAGCTGGGTGTGGTGGCGGGTGCCTATAGTCTCAGCTACTTGGGAGGCTGAAGCAGGAGAATCACTTGAACCTGGGAGGTGGAGGTTGCAGTGAGCCCAGATCATGCCACCGCACTCCAGCCTGGCAACAGAGTAAGACTCCATCTAAAAAAAAAAAAAAAAAAAAAAAAGACCTTGGTACATGTCTGATTTTCCTATACCTTGCCTTCTCACATAGTGGGTCAAGGTCAAGAGGGCACAATGTCCTTGGGTTCAATGCACAGAACTTCTAGATTTTCAGAAGAGTCATACTCTCTGAATTCCGTGGCCTCAGTCCTTTTGAAGAGCCTCCTTTGCTGGATTGTGTGCCTGTCAGAGGGTACCTTCTAGAACTAAGAAAGTACTTGGCAGGAATGAGCACTTGACTCCTTCTGAGAAATCCTTAGGCCTTTATGACTATGATGCCTTTTGTTGAACTATTTTGAGGTAGCTGTGTTGACTTTATGCTGACTTCTAGGGGCTGGATAATAAGGAAATTCAGTTCTAAGAGAGCAACTGTTTCCCTGAGAAGACCACAGAAACAGCATCTATCAGAGCCAGAAGGGGACTTGGCATCAGCCCCTTCAAATACGTCCTTGCACAGATAATTAACCAAGAACCACAGAAGTAAAGCATCTTGATAAGATTCCACATGGTCGAGAGCCAGAGTCATATTCAAACCCTCTGACTCCAAGGCCACCATTAGACCCAAATCAGTCCTTACAGAGGAGACAGCTAAGAGCCAATGAGAGGCCGAGAGTCTATTGGCTGGACACTGATGGGCCTTCCTACCTCTGACTCTGGTCCAAGGCTTTCTTTATGTCCCCAGGCTCCCTCTCCAGGAACTTCCCTCCTAGGATCACAGAAATGGCACCCTGATGCCAGCTTCTTATCAATGGCCAAGGCAAGATTTTAAATAATGACAATAATCAGGACCTGCTCTCAGGCAGCAGTCGGGATCTTAGGAATTACAGAATCTTCCAAATTACGTCACATTCATGTAAAGGAATTAGAAACATCTTTCCCATTTCATCAGGCCCAAATTAGAACAGCCTCTACAGAGGGTCCTAGTAGATCAGTCCTCCTCTCAGGTCCATGGGTCTGATTTCCCTTCTCAAATAGCCACTGCACTTTTCTTATGATTATGGAGTGTTTACCAGGTGTGTGCAACGCCTCAAGGGCAGTCTGGAATTTGGAACTGGATATAATCCTTAGCCACAAACTGGCAGCATGACCTCTTTAAAAGGCAGGGACTGGTCATCTCTGCCATCCAGTCCCATGCTAGGGAGTTAGTCTATGAATCAGCCAAGATGGGTTCCCAGCCCACTGTCTATCTCCCTTCAAGGCAAAATGGTCTAGTAGGAAGACTCCATGATCTAGTCAGCCTGGCTGCACTATGTCCAGCCTATATTACTTAGAGCAAGAATCAAACATTTTAAACTTCAGTTTTGTCATCTGTAAAATAAGCATACAATACCTGGTCTACCTCTTGTGTCGCTAGGAGGATTCATTCATTCATTCATTCATTCAGCAGAAATGTATTAAGCACTGATCTAGAAATACCCTGGTGAACAAGACAACAAAAAAGGTGCATACAATATAGTTAGATAATCAATTAACAAATAAATAGGTAAATAATCAAGATATTTTTAGATAAAGCAAGTGCTACAGGGAGATAAAATGGTGCTGTAACACAGAATCAAGGAAAGCCTCACTGAGATGTGACATTCAACCTGAAAGCAAAAGGAGACAACTCTACCAAAACTGGAAGAAACAGCAAGGGCAAGACTTTGAAGAGGGAAAGGAACAGAAAGGAAACCAGAATGGGTGAGACATACTAAGTGAAGGAGAGAGTGGGACAAGCTAGATAGTGTGGACTCTGTAGCCAAGGAAGAAGACTGGGCTTCATTCTAGGAGCACAGGGAAGTCAGGGAGCATTTTAAGCAGGGAGATGAGGGCAGATTATAGAGCAGCAGGGACAGAAGCACAGGCAGCAGCCAGAAGGCTGAGTTGCCCAGGTATGAGAAGTTGGTGGTCTGGACTGGCTTAGAGGAAGATCTAGGATCTGTTTTAGAAGTGGAATTGTCAAGACTGGCTGTTCAATTAGGTGTGGGGTGAAGGAAAGACAGAAATAAAAAGTTACTCCTAGATTTTGGAATCTATGAGACTACTCACTCATTCATTCAACAAACATCAATTACGCACATATATCTGCCTGTCTCTGTGCATAGTGTTGGGGATAAAGATGGAGATGAAGATCACAGCTTTGTCGGGGAAATAGACCAGAAAATAGGCAATATAATGCATTTAAGTAAGTGCGGTAAATACTCAAGAACGCCAGCTCTGCTGAGGGGAAAGAATCAAAGAAAAGTCTTCCTAAGGAGGGGAGTTTTAGCTAAGCCTTGAAGGAACAACAGGAATAGGAGAAGGGCATTGGCGTTATAAAACAGAGCTCTAAAATAACAACAACAGTAGCAGCAGCAGCAGCAGCAGTAGTGGCAGGTGATATTTGTTAAGCCCAAACAATGCGCTATGTCCTGTAATAAGAACAGATGAATAATTTACTTTTCACATAAGAATTCTATGAGGGGGCTGGGCGCGGTGGCTCACGCCTGTAATCCCAGCACTTTGGGAGGCCGAGGCGGGTGGATCACGAGGTCAAGAGATGGAGACCATCCTGGTCAACATGGTGAAACCCCGCCTCTACTAAAAATACAAAAAATTAGCTGGGCATGGTGGCACGTGCCTGTAATCCCAGCTACTCAGGAGGCTGAGGCAGGAGAATTGCCTGAACCCAGGAGGTGGAGGTTGCGGTGAGCCGAGATCATTCCATTGCACTCCAGCCTGGGTAACAAGAGTGAAACTCCGTCTCAAAAAAAAAAAAAATACTATGAGGTAGATCCTATTACTATCATCCCCACTTTACAGATGAGGAAGCTGAGGGACAGTTAACCTCTGTTACATAACTTGCCTCAGGTCACAAAACTCATAATGACAGAGCCAGGCTTCAATCGCCTGCATTTTGGCGCTGGAAGCCATGCTCCAAACACAAGAAACTGCCTCTCTGTGGGATGTCACTGCAGATTCAGGGGCTAACAACTAGTGTGGGAGGTATCGGGTATAGGAAGGTGGGAACTGATGGGAAGTCAGATAAATGACATGAAAGTATTCTGCAAAATATAAAGTACTGTCCCCAAGCAGATCATTGGCACTACTATTAAAATAAATAACTACCTACCCAGGAGGCAGAAGTTGCAATGAGCTGAGATCTTGCCACTGCACTTCAGCCTGGGTGACAGAGTGAGACTCTGTCTCAAAAAAATATAATAAAATAAATAAATAAATAACTGCTTTTCCTCTCCGTGAAAAATGAAGGCTTCCCAGTACAATCTATGGATTATTGGCCTTGGAAAAAAGTGACTGCTTGGAAGGCCTGCTTAGACACAGGGAATTCCAGGAAAGGATGGGCTGATGTGAAACTGATCCTGAGTTGGGAAGCAGCAGATGTAAGCTCTGGTCCCAGCTCTGCACCTAACTTATTATGTGGTCTTGGGTGGGTTACTTCCCCAGACTGTCTTTAGTTTTCCCATCACTATGACAGAAAGAGGAAAGAGTGGGGATTTTAAAATTTTTTTCCAAGACAGAGTTTCACTCTGTCATCCACGCTTGAGTGCAGTGGCACAATCTTGCCTCACTGCAACCTCTGCCTCCCAGGTTCAAGTGACTCTCCTGTTTCAGCCTCCCAAGTAGCTGGGACTACAGGCACATGCCACCATGACCAGCTAATTTTTGTATTGTTTTTTAGTAGAGATGGGTTTTGCCATGTTGGCCAGACTGGTCTTGAACTCCTGACCTCAAGTGATCTGACTGCCTTGGCCTCTCAAAGTGCTGGGATCACAGGTGTGAGGCACTTGGCCAAAAGTGGGGATTCCAAGGGCTTTTTCAGCCTCCACATTTTAAACAATCACTGCTGCCATTGGTGTTCTGTTTCTCCGAGCTGGACAGTGACAGAAAAGGAATGTCAGCTTGGGGTCCTTTACCAAAACAGAGGCTTGGTGTCAACCTCAGATGTGGTTGACAACTTCCAGAAAGCAGGACCCATGCTGGATGGGAAGCCCATGGCTTGTATCCCCTGAGTCCATAGATGT